CTGATTGGCTCAGTGATCTGAGAACCCAGTTGAAGGCGTTTGTGGGCGGAGTTTGTTTGCGAAGCAAGAGATTTTTCTGAGCGCTGTTTTCTCTACTAAATTTTTTCGCTTGAAGCAGACACTTTAAAGAGTTACAACTCAAAGGAAATTTCTTCGATTGCCCTCAAATTTGTACAGTAGTTAGATTAACATATAATAAACAAAAACATGTCTTTGAATTGTTTATTTCGAAATATTTTTTCTCCGAGAGCGATTTTTGTACGATCACTTCACATTTTTTAAACACTATTTCGAAAATGTTCTGTAATTTTTTACTGCAATTGAATATGGCAAAACGCAGACACGCTTTTTTAGCGCTTTTTGTCCTTAAACCGGGGAAAAAAATAAATTGGCGAGAAACAAAATTCGCTTTGACTTGTAGCTTCCAAAAGGTGATTAGGGCGCTCGCATTTAGTGGTCCTGAAAAAATCGGCAATTCATTTCATTTCAAAATTCTTGGTATAGTTTGATAGCCAGCTCTATAGGCCTTAATTTGATATGGGGATTTAGGTATCTGCCGCTTAAACTGGACGCGCTACATCGCTTGGACACGAGACACCTCTGAAGGTATACGGTAACCTTAAAACATTAAAAAAGTAGGGGTCTATATACAACTTTTGGATGAGCTAGGATTAACATAATTATCACTATTTTTAATTTTTTAAAGTTAAACCAGTGAGTAGGACTTCTGCGAACTACTGGAGTTCTATAACTTTTTTATTTTCTCCTGCGTGTTTCATGTGACTAATGCATACTACATCAGGGAACAACAGTTTTGGCAGTAGCAACTTTAGCTCAGATTTACCAGTTTTATCAGTTAATTATGACTGAAACCTACATGTACACAATGCTGAGTAACCTTTAGCAGGCTAGCATCACACTGAGTGGGATCTTCAATACTCAATGACTTCATGCCACTGTACAGATATCAGGGTTACGCTTCAGGAGTAAATCATAAGCCTTGTGGCTCATTGGCAAACAACCTGCAATCATCACAGAAAGTGGGTGTGAACACCCTCCCTCCAATCCATGGACCACCTATCAGGGGCGGATCTAGGGGGAGGATGCAGGGCTGTGCACTCCCCCCCCCCTGAGATGGCATATTGGCTTTTAAAATTTGTTTACCTCACCAGTCAGCTACATCATCCCTTAGTGGTGCACCCCCCTCCTAAGAAAAATCTGGATCCTCCCCTACCTATACAGGCAGGCAGATAGATCCATGATACATGTAAATCAACAGTCAATCATTGTAACACTTACAATCTACAAACAAACACTCTTTAAACTAGTCTAGACCAGATTGTGCTTAGCAGACAACCCAAGTTGTAACTATTTTTTTTTCCCTTTGCAGCTGAACATAAGAAGACTGTGGATCAATGTTATAGGACAGAGCCTCGCTGTCTGTCCTCACATCCCCATGAACTCTGTCAAGGTGTCATACGCGATCAAAACTACTATGCAGTTTGCCGGGGTGTGTTAGCAGATATAGGAAGTGAAAAGGGCCTACTTCATTCCCCTCCAGGAGATGAGGAATTTAAAATGATGCTTGAGGACACACTGACAGAATGTATTACAGCACAGACAATTAAAAGAAAAGAGGCTATCGACCTTGTTGTGGGTTTACTTCAGAACAAAATAAATGCTCTAGCAAAATTAAAGTCTTAATTAAGGTGTTGTTTCTTGACTACACATGTAAGTTATGAAAATAGATATTTAATAAATTGAAATCTTTGCCCTGCCTCTAGCTCTGTAGAATTATTGCAGTGCTGGAACTAACAATGCAGGTCTTCAATGACTTAAGTCATGTGACAGGTACAGAACCGGAAGTTCAAAGTTATGGTCTCAATTGAGAGTTGGGGCCTGGGACTGGATTCAATTGAAGCTACAATTTTTTGTGTCTGGGTCAGGTGGGTAGGGTGTTTGCTGCCTTCCAAAAATTGACTTTTGCGCTCTCCCCTGCGGTCTCTTATTGGGTTTGCATTTCTAGCATACCGCACTTAACCTGTTAGATTGTCTATCCTAAGGAATGAAAGTTTTCACAATTTTTTCTCCCCATGTGTATGAGAAATGAAATTGGCAACCCCACTGATTGTTATGTTTTCAAGTAAATCTGGTCTTCTGATTAAGGATGGAGGAATATTAAAGATGTAAATTAATTTTGTCACTTGATTAGTTCTCGGGAGAGCGTAAAGCCTTTTTATTTGGAAGTATGTGACTTGCGCTGGCAGTAAAATATGTCCAAATATTTGTAAAGGTAAAGGTCAGCTCCTCTTATTAAAATAAACACGGGGGTAAGTCTCAAGGTATTTTGATACAAAATAATGGGCAATTAAACACAAACAATTGCTCTCCAAGAGTGGATTGCTCCGATAATGCCCACAGGTAATGACCACTGTCTACAGGCCGCTGCAGGAGTCTGTTTTTTCGACAGCCGCGAAAACCCAATTATTTCCCGCGCTTTGGCACCAAATAGCTTTGCTTTTTGCAAGTCTGTCGTGTTTTTTTTAAAAAAGTTTCAAAGAAAAGGTATCACCAGATCTTAAGCTGGTTACTTGAGAGGGTGGAGTTTATTTTAATTAAGAAGTATGGCAAAAATGTTACAAGGAAAACTTCAACACTTTTGTCCTCCATCATTACATCACGCTAAAACGTGGTAAAACAATTATCACGAAAAACTATACTCTTTTGTGTCGTTCAATAAGCTCTTTCTGCTTGGTCTTTCAATGTATTTTACAGAACGACGGATTATTTCGATCGTTTTATATCCAACAAGAGAAGGCTCAAAACGAAGATAAACTGAAACAATTCACTTATCTCCCTGCTATCAAAAACATGGTACTTCAGCACGACTGTTATGCGGTGCTGTGTAAGTTCTCACGGCACTAAGAACCACAGCTTTCGTTTATCAACTTATTGATCTGATAACGTCCCTTTCACATGGAATAACTTCACGGCGAGAGTTTCCGCTTTGACGTTTCTCGTGTTACATCCAAACCCATTAGCTTTCAGTTCAGGTGAACGCCTCCATTGTGTTACTCGACGTGGTAGGAATATTTTCAACGCCTTGACTGAACAATTAGCGGCACAGCCCGGCCACCGTGCAAAACAAGCTAAATAGTTGGCTGTGGAAAGCGTCTTGGAGCTAAAATGGACAGATTCTTTTCGATCGCTGTGCTTCTCTATGTGTCTTGTCAATTCCAGGTAAGATTGAATGACTGTTTTTCGAATAATGTGTTCTCGTTTTACTGCTCCCGTTCGTTGATGTAATTGATTAGAAGGGTTAAGACAGATCGACTTTGACAGTGACAGTTGAGCGAAGAGGTAGAGCTCGGAAAGCCGATCGAGTACTTTCGAGCCAACTGTTTCTCAATACAGGATTTAACAGAAAATCCGAAATCTCTGAAGGGTTCTTAAAGAGGAAAACAACTGAAACCACGTACTAAAACGTAGTGAAGCCTTGTTTGGTCATACCGCACTTAACCTGTTAGATTGTCTATCCTAAGGAATGAAAGTTTTCACAATTTTTTCTCCCCATGTGTATGAGAAATGAAATTGGCAACCCCACTGATTGTTATGTTTTCAAGTAAATCTGGTCTTCTGATTAAGGATGGAGGAATATTAAAGATGTAAATTAATTTTGTCACTTGATTAGTTCTCGGGAGAGCGTAAAGCCTTTTTATTTGGAAGTATGTGACTTGCGCTGGCAGTAAAATATGTCCAAATATTTGTAAAGGTAAAGGTCAGCTCCTCTTATTAAAATAAACACGGGGGTAAGTCTCAAGGTATTTTGATACAAAATAATGGGCAATTAAACACAAACAATTGCTCTCCAAGAGTGGATTGCTCCGATAATGCCCACAGGTAATGACCACTGTCTACAGGCCGCTGCAGGAGTCTGTTTTTTCGACAGCCGCGAAAACCCAATTATTTCCCGCGCTTTGGCACCAAATAGCTTTGCTTTTTGCAAGTCTGTCGTGTTTTTTTTAAAAAAGTTTCAAAGAAAAGGTATCACCAGATCTTAAGCTGGTTACTTGAGAGGGTGGAGTTTATTTTAATTAAGAAGTATGGCAAAAATGTTACAAGGAAAACTTCAACACTTTTGTCCTCCATCATTACATCACGCTAAAACGTGGTAAAACAATTATCACGAAAAACTATACTCTTTTGTGTCGTTCAATAAGCTCTTTCTGCTTGGTCTTTCAATGTATTTTACAGAACGACGGATTATTTCGATCGTTTTATATCCAACAAGAGAAGGCTCAAAACGAAGATAAACTGAAACAATTCACTTATCTCCCTGCTATCAAAAACATGGTACTTCAGCACGACTGTTATGCGGTGCTGTGTAAGTTCTCACGGCACTAAGAACCACAGCTTTCGTTTATCAACTTATTGATCTGATAACGTCCCTTTCACATGGAATAACTTCACGGCGAGAGTTTCCGCTTTGACGTTTCTCGTGTTACATCCAAACCCATTAGCTTTCAGTTCAGGTGAACGCCTCCATTGTGTTACTCGACGTGGTAGGAATATTTTCAACGCCTTGACTGAACAATTAGCGGCACAGCCCGGCCACCGTGCAAAACAAGCTAAATAGTTGGCTGTGGAAAGCGTCTTGGAGCTAAAATGGACAGATTCTTTTCGATCGCTGTGCTTCTCTATGTGTCTTGTCAATTCCAGGTAAGATTGAATGACTGTTTTTCGAATAATGTGTTCTCGTTTTACTGCTCCCGTTCGTTGATGTAATTGATTAGAAGGGTTAAGACAGATCGACTTTGACAGTGACAGTTGAGCGAAGAGGTAGAGCTCGGAAAGCCGATCGAGTACTTTCGAGCCAACTGTTTCTCAATACAGGATTTAACAGAAAATCCGAAATCTCTGAAGGGTTCTTAAAGAGGAAAACAACTGAAACCACGTACTAAAACGTAGTGAAGCCTTGTTTGGCGATTCTGTTATCGGACGTACACTCGCTGTAGTGAAATATCTGAATCGACAAGTTTTGGACAACGAGCGAAGAACTTCATCGATATTTGAATTTTCGCTAAAATTTTTATCGCTGAAATAAAGGTGCACTGAAAATATCGCCTCGCTCGTTCGGGTTTTTGACACAAACAACTCGTGAATAAAACCCGGTACGTCGCACTTTCAATGAAGTAATCTATATATATATGGGCCATATAGGTATGTGCGGCCTTATGTGGCTTTCGAGCAGTTTTGGTCTGAAAAAGACCGAAAAACTGCATAGATTTTGACCATCTTGGTCTGCAATAGGAAAAATCAAATATTTTAGTTTGAAATAAGGTACAGGTTTCAAAGGTTCGGGCTACACACCCCTACCATTAACTTTAGGGAGTATTCCCCGGGGGGGGGGGGGAATCACAGGAGTGTGTGTTTATGGAACATGTTTTATTGGCAAAATTCCTAACGTTTCTTTCGATCGCAAATCTCCCAACAGACGCAGGCATTCTGGCCCGAGAAGAGTTAAAAACATACAACTGTACAACAACCCTTTCTTTTGTGATCATCCGGGTGAGGGCAGTCGCCAACAACAGTTCTTTACCGAACTACCCTCACCCGGACGATTACACTATACGAACTATTGATACTCCTGGGTTCAAACCATTTACTATGTAACCCTTTATTTTGTTGTTCATGCTAGCTAGAAGATCCGTCAGATTGCCTGCACCATCAAACCACTGCGAGACTGAAACATTCTATGCTGCATTTTTATCAATCTAAAGGAATATGTTAAATCCCCATCAAGACCCGAGGTCATTGTTAGAATATTTATTTTGTTTAGTCTAAACAAAACGTCCAAAAATGAAACAAAAATGACAACGATTCAATTGACACCCATGACCACAGGAAAAAAAAAAACCGCACGCCATTCGAAAGTAAAAAACGTTTATAGCTTGACGGAAATTTAAAACGTCGACGTCTATAATATATGTTGCTTTTAATTTTTATTCCCCTGTTACACTTTCTTTATTGAAATCAATCGACATTTGTGCATAAAATTGTGATTTGATGAACAACGCAACTTTTAAGTGTTTGCATCGTTCAAGGAAATATTGGAATTAGTCGGCCCTTGGAAGTCCTTGAAAAGTCCTTGAAGGTACCGAACAACTTTTTTTAAAAGTGTTTACGGGATTGAATTACGGGGATTTCATAGAGTTTAGCGAACGATTTTCTCTGTTGGATTGCATTTAATAAATTGCGTCCATAGACTTTCTGAAGCCTGGTGGTCTCTGTTTAACACTTCTCTCGGGAGGTGAACAATTTAGAAGCGATGTTAAAAGATCGGGCAGCTCACTCCAATGCCCGCCATTGGCGGCAAGAAGATGACAAAGGTGTTAATGAAGTCTCGAAATCCACTCCACGAGAAATCTTTCAACACTGATTCCTCGGCGGCTTTTCTCCTCTTTCACTTGTCAAATCCGATCACTTGATTCGCGGCATTGTGAACCCTTTTAATCCGATGCAATCTCATATCAGTTTTGATCCTCTTTATCTAAATTGCCTGCTTGGAAGAGTGTTTTGTTTTTCATTGCGATGGGTTCTCTCCATCAAGTTAAGCTTCTGCTAAATGACAATTCATTCTCGCGGCTGGCTTTGTCTCACTGATGTTTTTATTTGTATCGTCTACCGCAAAACAAATCAATTAATATTTAGCTACGGTAAAAGTCAAAAGGAACCGCCGTCAGGCGACTTCTTTTTCGTTTTTCAGCAGCAGAGCTTGCGTGCGATGTTCTGGGTACTAGAAAGTTCGATTTTGTCAAGGCAAAATTCTCAGGTTTAAGCTCAATCTCTTTAGTTCTTCTCCTTGACTGAGATAGTTTGAGATTACGAGCAGTGACTCCCGCTATCTTCAGGGTGGTCCGTCAAGGCTGGGAGTGATAAGGGTACAACAGAAACAAGGCGGTTTTCAAGTTGTCAAAGTGATCAACCAGGGGCGTGCAAGACTGGTCTCCGGTGTGTTATGAAAGGGAAAAACCCGCGGTTGTTCCCGCGGGGCCGCGGTACCCAGGGGGTACTCCCTTATGTGGGCTAAATAAGTATGTGCGGCCCCTAAGGGTATGGTATTTTGAGCCGTTTTGGTCTGAAATAGGGGACCAACTTATGACTAACTTTTAGAAGCATTTCATGCATCTTTTTGAGAAATGTCAAGCAACTTGTTGGAAGCATTAGTTCAAAGACCTCCATCTACCATACGTGCTTGCGTCTCTTCAGCCATCCTTCACAAGGGAAGCATTTATACTCATTACACTTTTACAGATTTACATTTCTCTGTCAGGTGGCGTTGGGACAGAATGGAGACGGAGACATTTGTAAGGAGGTGGTCTGTCCAAGGGGACAAATGTGCATGCCTTTAATGGACAATGGAGTAAAGTTCACCGTCTGTCAATGTCCGAAATCCTGCCCCGCGGAGTTGAATGAACCTGTTTGTAGTTACTACAACAGAGAATTTAAGAACCGGTGCGAGATGCATAAGTACGCATGCGCACACGACTTGACTATGAAGGTCAAGAACCAAGGAAACTGCCCTTCAGAGAGTAAGTACCACAAGCATTACGAAAGTTACACGTCACCCTTGCCTGCGTAAACGGGGAATGGGTACGGGAGGCGGAAAACACGACGAAGAAGGGGGAAAGGACTCCCCAATCTCCCCTTATTCCATCCCCATTCTCTGTCTCTCTCTCCCCTTCCCAATTCTCCCATTTTTTGTGTGTTTTTCACGCGCGAACATTGAAGCCCGGGATTCCCCGCTGCATGGCTTGCTCTGCTTACATGTACCGATTGTGCGTCAGTCCCACCACTAGACCTTCGTGTAGACTACGTTATCCTCGACTCCTAAGCTCAATTACGAGCCGCTGCTTGCTGCTGCTGTTTTCGAAAATGAACTCTGAGTCCAAACCGAATCTTGCTGTAAGTATTTCGTTGTAAAGGGCTGTAAAAATTCACGATGAAACAAAACATGGCGGTAAAGGAAAATAATTTATTGGTGTCCTACTAAGCTAGAGAAAGTCAAGATTTTAAGCAATAAAATGATTTGTGTTTCTTTTGCAGATCCAAACGTCTGTTCAGATCTCCAGCTGCTTCAGTTCCCGAGCCGTTATTTGGAATGGATTATGGTTGCTCGTGAGCACTCCCTTGACCCTACCTTCAACTTAGACTTTGATGCTCGTGCTGATTCGCTCACTGAAGACGAACGTCGAGAAGTCCTTTCGGTAAGAACTTGGCCTTTTTGGCAGCCCTGACCTAAGACGTCCGCAACATTTCTCAAGGGGAGCGTTGCGTGACGATCATCACCATGACAATTGCGCAGCGCAGCCTCGACCCCAAGGCGTTCTCTTCCTCTCGCGAATGAACCGCAAAGAACACTTAAACGCCTGGGAACGGGTTCTTTGACCTCTCTTCTCGATCTCTCCTTGATCTCCAGGGTATCATGAAGAGTGAAAAATAGCTTTAATTATTCTTGCGGGTGAAAAACGATTTCAACTATTTGAATCATCTTATAAATCGCCGAAATCAGCGTAAATTTCTGCTTCACATATATAAACATGTTTTTGGCCTCGACAGGCTCGATTCCTTGTCTTTTCACAAGCATGTGTTCCTTGCCTCGGAAGAGGATCACAACCGGCTTAAAATCAAAAGCCTACCTCCGTCATGGCTACCGGAAGGAAAGATCAAGTAGTCTTTCCCAAGGAACCATGATCTTGTCTTTTCCTTTTCACTAACAAATGCTTGTAACTTTGATGACGTTTCTTTCTTTTCATTCAGTGGGAATTTGAGTACATAGACAAAGACGACAATAATATTCTCGATACAGCGGAGATTGATGAGGTGTTTGATGATGTGCTTGACTTTGAGCCTTGCCTTTACGGCTTCCTGAAGTCATGTGACCTGAACGGAAGAGAAGGAATTGACAAGCGCGAGTGGGAGTCCTGTTTTCCAGTTACAGGTAACAGGCACACCAATAAATTGAGCTATCTAGTCCGCTCTAAAAAAATGTAAATCAATTAATCAGTCAGTCAATAAATTGAAGTTTACTGTGTAATACACTTAACTTTTTTTTAGCCAATCATGTTAAAATCCTGTTGGCTTAATTGCTTTAGCTGTAAACTTGAGTGTAGCCTGTTGCAGGCTCTCGGTCGGTGGGGACGATCAAAAACGCGGGCAGGCGACAAGCGGGGTCTGGTAGAGAAAAAGGAGAGCGTCGCCCGCCCGCTTTTTCGAACCGAGAGCCCGGAACGGGCTAACTTGAGTGGTAAAAAATATTAACACTAGTATTGTTTCAAGCAACCGGCTGCAATTCAGTTTATGATCAACTCTTTGTTGTCTGTCTGAAGCAGCACGGATGGCTGTCTTACCTGCGTTCAGACCTTGTTTTTTTTTCGAGGCAAGGGGAGAAAAAGAAACGTCAAAATCATCTCACCAATTCTTTATTCTGTTCACCTTTCAGTATCCTCAAATAATAATATGTTTTTCCTTCTTCTTGTTTTCTGTAGCTGGTACGGCTTTCGAAACCAGGAAATGAATAGCAAAACCTTGTGATGCCTCAAGACGCGTTTGAATATTTTTCGCCCTCAGCTGTCGACTCATCTCGTTGGACATACGGTTCTTTATGGCTTCATTGGATATGAAGTGTTGGGGTGGAAAACTTTTAACTGATGTTTAAGCGAGTGGTAACCTTGACAGAGGAAGAGCTGTTACAAATTGCACATTTTGAAAAATGAATTTCGTTGTTGTTCTTTTTTGGTTTGTTGTAACCTCTGATGTCGTTTTTTTTTTTTGGTAGAATAAAGGTCGGCATGCAGTTCAGAACATGTTGCGGGTACGTGAAGCTGGGACAAGCCTCTTCGTGTGTACCCATAGAACGCGTGTTGCAGCACACGAAGCGGTATGAGGCATAATAATTTGTTGTAGTGGGGACAGTTGGCAAGAGCTATGCACACCATGGGACATGTCTCTGCTTCATAACACGAATTCAACCCAACTGAATCTTATGCAATATGTCGCGGAGATAAAATTTGGTCCCCCCAACAGAACATTTTCGCAAAAACGGGCATGTCACACGAGGAAAACTGCAACTTGTTTCCGCTTCATGTTCCCCCGCAACATGTACCCAAGTGTGTGTGCCGACCCGGCTTGATATTTTGATGTTTCTTTTGGTTTCGCTGATGACTGTGTATATAGTGCTAGTGTTCCTTGGAAGTAGAATAAAGCTTTGATTGTTCTGTTAATTTTGTGATCCAGTACGTGAACTATTTCTGGTGTAATAATTCTAAAACAAATTTTTATCATCAAAATAGGTATTACGACTCCTAGGAAAGCTTGCAAAAAACGACATTCTCGTTGAAATATCTTAGTGTGTTGATTTAACGGTTTTTTTGTTTTAGATTTTGCCTATGGTGAGGTTCGCTGTGGGGAATTTCACGTCAACAATCGCAGCAGAGTTTCAACACACAGACAAACATACAAAATTATTATTTTTTACGCCTCTTTCAATATTTCTCCCAATTTCAACATTTGTGTTTTTTTATAAAATATGTTTAGCCAGAGAACGTGTTTTCTTAAACAGCTTTTCGGATGGGACAATGAATAGAAAAAAAATAGGTTCTATCAGTGTAAGGTGAAAAAACACACAACTTTCTGCATAATTCTCCTACGCATGCGTTCAAGAGACGGAAAAGTCCAACTGATGACGCAGCAGCGCGTCTGATTGGTGTTACTTGCGCGGAAAACAACTAATCAGAGTGACCCCACGGAATTCTATTCAGTTACGTCATCGTCATTGATTTTCTCGGGACAAACTGAGTAGAACTGAAAACGCTTTGGCTAACAAGTTGTGAAGTGCGACCTTTACTTTCTCCCAATTACAAACTCCACTGAGTAGGATACAATCTCAGTCCTCCAGATAAAAACTGTTATCAGTTCACCACCATTCGTAATGACCTTTTGACTCGTTTCGTTGAACTCGTCCATATAATGTAAGACGCTGAAGTCACTAAGAAGCTTTACTATCCATCTCTGCTAAACTTTCAGTAATCATTTCTTTAGTTTCTTCGTCCTTTGCTTTGTCTGCGAGTTTGAACGCACTCTTGAGAGCGTCCTTGGCTTTTAACACATTCCCTGAAAGAAGAAAATAACAATAAGAACATACTTTATTTATGTGTCAGTTGATGGTCTAGTTGAGGATCTGGCTCCTAAGTGACAAGGAGCTAATTGGGGACAGTTTTTTTGTTACCTAATCGGCCGTAATTTTAGCGCTTTCCTATTCGGATTCTCTTTGCCGAGAATGATCGCCCTACGGGCGAGTGAGGCTCGCGCGCTTCACACGCGAGGATCGCGCCCTCCGAAAACGTCCGAAAACGACTGTTTTGCAGTCTAGAGCAGGCGTATTGCTTAAGGCAGGGTCCATACAACGCCAGAGAAATTTGAAAACGCAGCTTTATTTCTACGGTTAGGCCTCAGTACCGTCCACACTAAAACGTCACGAAAACGGAGCTTTTCGAAAACGCTCTTGAAAGCGGAGGAATTTGAAAACGGCGGCCTTTCGTTTTCGTGTGAACGGAAAACATTTTGAAAACGGAGCTTTTCGAAAACGNNNGGGGGGGGGGGGAATCACAGGAGTGTGTGTTTATGGAACATGTTTTATTGGCAAAATTCCTAACGTTTCTTTCGATCGCAAATCTCCCAACAGACGCAGGCATTCTGGCCCGAGAAGAGTTAAAAACATACAACTGTACAACAACCCTTTCTTTTGTGATCATCCGGGTGAGGGCAGTCGCCAACAACAGTTCTTTACCGAACTACCCTCACCCGGACGATTACACTATACGAACTATTGATACTCCTGGGTTCAAACCATTTACTATGTAACCCTTTATTTTGTTGTTCATGCTAGCTAGAAGATCCGTCAGATTGCCTGCACCATCAAACCACTGCGAGACTGAAACATTCTATGCTGCATTTTTATCAATCTAAAGGAATATGTTAAATCCCCATCAAGACCCGAGGTCATTGTTAGAATATTTATTTTGTTTAGTCTAAACAAAACGTCCAAAAATGAAACAAAAATGACAACGATTCAATTGACACCCATGACCACAGGAAAAAAAAATACCGCACGCCATTCGAAAGTAAAAAACGTTTATAGCTTGACGGAAATTTAAAACGTCGACGTCTATAATATATGTTGCTTTTAATTTTTATTCCCCTGTTACACTTTCTTTATTGAAATCAATCGACATTTGTGCATAAAATTGTGATTTGATGAACAACGCAACTTTTAAGTGTTTGCATCGTTCAAGGAAATATTGGAATTAGTCGGCCCTTGGAAGTCCTTGAAAAGTCCTTGAAGGTACCGAACAACTTTTTTTAAAAGTGTTTACGGGATTGAATTACGGGGATTTCATAGAGTTTAGCGAACGATTTTCTCTGTTGGATTGCATTTAATAAATTGCGTCCATAGACTTTCTGAAGCCTGGTGGTCTCTGTTTAACACTTCTCTCGGGAGGTGAACAATTTAGAAGCGATGTTAAAAGATCGGGCAGCTCACTCCAATGCCCGCCATTGGCGGCAAGAAGATGACAAAGGTGTTAATGAAGTCTCGAAATCCACTCCACGAGAAATCTTTCAACACTGATTCCTCGGCGGCTTTTCTCCTCTTTCACTTGTCAAATCCGATCACTTGATTCGCGGCATTGTGAACCCTTTTAATCCGATGCAATCTCATATCAGTTTTGATCCTCTTTATCTAAATTGCCTGCTTGGAAGAGTGTTTTGTTTTTCATTGCGATGGGTTCTCTCCATCAAGTTAAGCTTCTGCTAAATGACAATTCATTCTCGCGGCTGGCTTTGTCTCACTGATGTTTTTATTTGTATCGTCTACCGCAAAACAAATCAATTAATATTTAGCTACGGTAAAAGTCAAAAGGAACCGCCGTCAGGCGACTTCTTTTTCGTTTTTCAGCAGCAGAGCTTGCGTGCGATGTTCTGGGTACTAGAAAGTTCGATTTTGTCAAGGCAAAATTCTCAGGTTTAAGCTCAATCTCTTTAGTTCTTCTCCTTGACTGAGATAGTTTGAGATTACGAGCAGTGACTCCCGCTATCTTCAGGGTGGTCCGTCAAGGCTGGGAGTGATAAGGGTACAACAGAAACAAGGCGGTTTTCAAGTTGTCAAAGTGATCAACCAGAGGCGTGCAAGACTGGTCTCCGGTGTTATGAAAGGGAAAAACCCGCGGTTGTTCCCGCGGGACCGCGGGACCCAGGGGGTACTCCCTGATGTGGGCTAAATAGGTATGTACGGCCCCTAAGGGTATGGTATTTTGAGCCGTTTTGGTCTGAAATAGGGGACCAACTTATGATTAACTTTTAGCAGCATTTCATGCATCTTTTTGAGGAATGACAAGCAACTTGTTGGAAGCATTAGTTCAAAGACCTCCATCTACCATACGTGCCTGCGTCTCTTCAGCCATCCTTCACAAGGGAAACATTTATACTCATTACACTTTTACAGATCTACATTTCTCTGTCAGGTGGCGTTGGGACAGAATGGAAATGGAGATATTTGTAAGGAGGTGGTTTGTCCAAGGGGACAAATGTGCATGCCTTTAATGGACAATGGAGTAAAGTTCACCGTCTGTCAATGTCCGANAACACTTCTCTCGGGAGGTGAACAATTTAGAAGCGATGTTAAAAGATCGGGCAGCTCACTCCAATGCCCGCCATTGGCGGCAAGAAGATGACAAAGGTGTTAATGAAGTCTCGAAATCCACTCCACGAGAAATCTTTCAACACTGATTCCTCGGCGGCTTTTCTCCTCTTTCACTTGTCAAATCCGATCACTTGATTCGCGGCATTGTGAACCCTTTTAATCCGATGCAATCTCATATCAGTTTTGATCCTCTTTATCTAAATTGCCTGCTTGGAAGAGTGTTTTGTTTTTCATTGCGATGGGTTCTCTCCATCAAGTTAAGCTTCTGCTAAATGACAATTCATTCTCGCGGCTGGCTTTGTCTCACTGATGTTTTTATTTGTATCGTCTACCGCAAAACAAATCAATTAATATTTAGCTACGGTAAAAGTCAAAAGGAACCGCCGTCAGGCGACTTCTTTTTCGTTTTTCAGCAGCAGAGCTTGCGTGCGATGTTCTGGGTACTAGAAAGTTCGATTTTGTCAAGGCAAAATTCTCAGGTTTAAGCTCAATCTCTTTAGTTCTTCTCCTTGACTGAGATAGTTTGAGATTACGAGCAGTGACTCCCGCTATCTTCAGGGTGGTCCGTCAAGGCTGGGAGTGATAAGGGTACAACAGAAACAAGGCGGTTTTCAAGTTGTCAAAGTGATCAACCAGGGGCGTGCAAGACTGGTCTCCGGTGTGTTATGAAAGGGAAAAACCCGCGGTTGTTCCCGCGGGGCCGCGGTACCCAGGGGGTACTCCCTTATGTGGGCTAAATAAGTATGTGCGGCCCCTAAGGGTATGGTATTTTGAGCCGTTTTGGTCTGAAATAGGGGACCAACTTATGACTAACTTTTAGAAGCATTTCATGCATCTTTTTGAGAAATGTCAAGCAACTTGTTGGAAGCATTAGTTCAAAGACCTCCATCTACCATACGTGCTTGCGTCTCTTCAGCCATCCTTCACAAGGGAAGCATTTATACTCATTACACTTTTACAGATTTACATTTCTCTGTCAGGTGGCGTTGGGACAGAATGGAGACGGAGACATTTGTAAGGAGGTGGTCTGTCCAAGGGGACAAATGTGCATGCCTTTAATGGACAATGGAGTAAAGTTCACCGTCTGTCAATGTCCGAAATCCTGCCCCGCGGAGTTGAATGAACCTGTTTGTAGTTACTACAACAGAGAATTTAAGAACCGGTGCGAGATGCATAAGTACGCATGCGCACACGACTTGACTATGAAGGTCAAGAACCAAGGAAACTGCCCTTCAGAGAGTAAGTACCACAAGCATTACGAAAGTTACACGTCACCCTTGCCTGCGTAAACGGGGAATGGGTACGGGAGGCGGAAAACACGACGAAGAAGGGGGAAAGGACTCCCCAATCTCCCCTTATTCCATCCCCATTCTCTGTCTCTCTCTCCCCTTCCCAATTCTCCCATTTTTTGTGTGTTTTTCACGCGCGAACATTGAAGCCCGGGATTCCCCGCTGCATGGCTTGCTCTGCTTACATGTACCGATTGTGCGTCAGTCCCACCACTAGACCTTCGTGTAGACTACGTTATCCTCGACTCCTAAGCTCAATTACGAGCCGCTGCTTGCTGCTGCTGTTTTCGAAAATGAACTCTGAGTCCAAACCGAATCTTGCTGTAAGTATTTCGTTGTAAAGGGCTGTAAAAATTCACGATGAAACAAAACATGGCGGTAAAGGAAAATAATTTATTGGTGTCCTACTAAGCTAGAGAAAGTCAAGATTTTAAGCAATAAAATGATTTGTGTTTCTTTTGCAGATCCAAACGTCTGTTCAGATCTCCAGCTGCTTCAGTTCCCGAGCCGTTATTTGGAATGGATTATGGTTGCTCGTGAGCACTCCCTTGACCCTACCTTCAACTTAGACTTTGATGCTCGTGCTGATTCGCTCACTGAAGACGAACGTCGAGAAGTCCTTTCGGTAAGAACTTGGCCTTTTTGGCAGCCCTGACCTAAGACGTCCGCAACATTTCTCAAGGGGAGCGTTGCGTGACGATCATCACCATGACAATTGCGCAGCGCAGCCTCGACCCCAAGGCGTTCTCTTCCTCTCGCGAATGAACCGCAAAGAACACTTAAACGCCTGGGAACGGGTTCTTTGACCTCTCTTCTCGATCTCTCCTTGATCTCCAGGGTATCATGAAGAGTGAAAAATAGCTTTAATTATTCTTGCGGGTGAAAAACGATTTCAACTATTTGAATCATCTTATAAATCGCCGAAATCAGCGTAAATTTCTGCTTCACATATATAAACATGTTTTTGGCCTCGACAGGCTCGATTCCTTGTCTTTTCACAAGCATGTGTTCCTTGCCTCGGAAGAGGATCACAACCGGCTTAAAATCAAAAGCCTACCTCCGTCATGGCTACCGGAAGGAAAGATCAAGTAGTCTTTCCCAAGGAACCATGATCTTGTCTTTTCCTTTTCACTAACAAATGCTTGTAACTTTGATGACGTTTCTTTCTTTTCATTCAGTGGGAATTTGAGTACATAGACAAAGACGACAATAATATTCTCGATACAGCGGAGATTGATGAGGTGTTTGATGATGTGCTTGACTTTGAGCCTTGCCTTTACGGCTTCCTGAAGTCATGTGACCTGAACGGAAGAGAAGGAATTGACAAGCGCGAGTGGGAGTCCTGTTTTCCAGTTACAGGTAACAGGCACACCAATAAATTGAGCTATCTAGTCCGCTCTAAAAAAATGTAAATCAATTAATCAGTCAGTCAATAAATTGAAGTTTACTGTGTAATACACTTAACTTTTTTTTAGCCAATCATGTTAAAATCCTGTTGGCTTAATTGCTTTAGCTGTAAACTTGAGTGTAGCCTGTTGCAGGCTCTCGGTCGGTGGGGACGATCAAAAACGCGGGCAGGCGACAAGCGGGGTCTGGTAGAGAAAAAGGAGAGCGTCGCCCGCCCGCTTTTTCGAACCGAGAGCCCGGAACGGGCTAACTTGAGTGGTAAAAAATATTAACACTAGTATTGTTTCAAGCAACCGGCTGCAATTCAGTTTATGATCAACTCTTTGTTGTCTGTCTGAAGCAGCACGGATGGCTGTCTTACCTGCGTTCAGACCTTGTTTTTTTTTCGAGGCAAGGGGAGAAAAAGAAACGTCAAAATCATCTCACCAATTCTTTATTCTGTTCACCTTTCAGTATCCTCAAATAATAATATGTTTTTCCTTCTTCTTGTTTTCTGTAGCTGGTACGGCTTTCGAAACCAGGAAATGAATAGCAAAACCTTGTGATGCCTCAAGACGCGTTTGAATATTTTTCGCCCTCAGCTGTCGACTCATCTCGTTGGACATACGGTTCTTTATGGCTTCATTGGATATGAAGTGTTGGGGTGGAAAACTTTTAACTGATGTTTAAGCGAGTGGTAACCTTGACAGAGGAAGAGCTGTTACAAATTGCACATTTTGAAAAATGAATTTCGTTGTTGTTCTTTTTTGGTTTGTTGTAACCTCTGATGTCGTTTTTTTTTTTTGGTAGAATAAAGGTCGGCATGCAGTTCAGAACATGTTGCGGGTACGTGAAGCTGGGACAAGCCTCTTCGTGTGTACCCATAGAACGCGTGTTGCAGCACACGAAGCGGTATGAGGCATAATAATTTGTTGTAGTGGGGACAGTTGGCAAGAGCTATGCACACCATGGGACATGTCTCTGCTTCATAACACGAATTCAACCCAACTGAATCTTATGCAATATGTCGCGGAGATAAAATTTGGTCCCCCCAACAGAACATTTTCGCAAAAACGGGCATGTCACACGAGGAAAACTGCAACTTGTTTCCGCTTCATGTTCCCCCGCAACATGTACCCAAGTGTGTGTGCCGACCCGGCTTGATATTTTGATGTTTCTTTTGGTTTCGCTGATGACTGTGTATATAGTGCTAGTGTTCCTTGGAAGTAGAATAAAGCTTTGATTGTTCTGTTAATTTTGTGATCCAGTACGTGAACTATTTCTGGTGTAATAATTCTAAAACAAATTTTTATCATCAAAATAGGTATTACGACTCCTAGGAAAGCTTGCAAAAAACGACATTCTCGTTGAAATATCTTAGTGTGTTGATTTAACGGTTTTTTTGTTTTAGATTTTGCCTATGGTGAGGTTCGCTGTGGGGAATTTCACGTCAACAATCGCAGCAGAGTTTCAACACACAGACAAACATACAAAATTATTATTTTTTACGCCTCTTTCAATATTTCTCCCAATTTCAACATTTGTGTTTTTTTATAAAATATGTTTAGCCAGAGAACGTGTTTTCTTAAACAGCTTTTCGGATGGGACAATGAATAGAAAAAAAATAGGTTCTATCAGTGTAAGGTGAAAAAACACACAACTTTCTGCATAATTCTCCTACGCATGCGTTCAAGAGACGGAAAAGTCCAACTGATGACGCAGCAGCGCGTCTGATTGGTGTTACTTGCGCGGAAAACAACTAATCAGAGTGACCCCACGGAATTCTATTCAGTTACGTCATCGTCATTGATTTTCTCGGGACAAACTGAGTAGAACTGAAAACGCTTTGGCTAACAAGTTGTGAAGTGCGACCTTTACTTTCTCCCAATTACAAACTCCACTGAGTAGGATACAATCTCAGTCCTCCAGATAAAAACTGTTATCAGTTCACCACCATTCGTAATGACCTTTTGACTCGTTTCGTTGAACTCGTCCATATAATGTAAGACGCTGAAGTCACTAAGAAGCTTTACTATCCATCTCTGCTAAACTTTCAGTAATCATTTCTTTAGTTTCTTCGTCCTTTGCTTTGTCTGCGAGTTTGAACGCACTCTTGAGAGCGTCCTTGGCTTTTAACACATTCCCTGAAAGAAGAAAATAACAATAAGAACATACTTTATTTATGTGTCAGTTGATGGTCTAGTTGAGGATCTGGCTCCTAAGTGACAAGGAGCTAATTGGGGACAGTTTTTTTGTTACCTAATCGGCCGTAATTTTAGCGCTTTCCTATTCGGATTCTCTTTGCCGAGAATGATCGCCCTACGGGCGAGTGAGGCTCGCGCGCTTCACACGCGAGGATCGCGCCCTCCGAAAACGTCCGAAAACGACTGTTTTGCAGTCTAGAGCAGGCGTATTGCTTAAGGCAGGGTCCATACAACGCCAGAGAAATTTGAAAACGCAGCTTTATTTCTACGGTTAGGCCTCAGTACCGTCCACACTAAAACGTCACGAAAACGGAGCTTTTCGAAAACGCTCTTGAAAGCGGAGGAATTTGAAAACGGCGGCCTTTCGTTTTCGTGTGAACGGAAAACATTTTGAAAACGGAGCTTTTCGAAAACG